AGAGGACAATTGAATATTATGATTTTCAGGACCCTATTTCAATCGATATTGGACCTCTAAAATGGGTTTATATAATATACTATCAGATCCTTTTAAATTCATTTTGAAATGTTTAAAAAATTACTTTGAACTTCTCATTAGAACATAGTAACAACAATATTAATAAAATAAAAATCAATTGAAGTAAACATATTTTCAAAACTGGTTTATAATTATATAGCCATACCATAAGATCAATTAAAACTCAAAAAATTCGGAATGAACTCGTACATTCCGAATTTTAAGATTTTTACAACTGAGAGGTTAAGATAAATTACCTCCTCGAATATTTGCGATTAATAAAAACTTTGGCCAATTATTTTGTATACTCCTCACTGCAGTAAAATGAATAACAAATATTTTTTATGATCCAACACATTACTATTGTTATCTAACCATACGATATAACTAAGAACTAATATATCTTCATATTCTAATGTTTCTTAATTTTTACAACTCAGATGTTGCGATAAAGTACCCCTTTGAATATTTGCGATTAATTAAAAGTTTATCCAAGCATTTTGTATTCTCCTCGCTGCAGTAAAATTGGAAACTTTTGCTAGACTTTCTATCCTTGTGGTCACAGTTTAAAATTTTAGCCGAGCTAAACTTTTGAGCATTTCCCCTGCCAAATCTCGCACTTGTGTTTAATCAATTAAACTGGATAAGCCGGCGAATCGTAATGGAAATCCACTAGATTTGGTGCTCGATATGTGGAAAAGTTTCACCATTCCCATTCCCATTTCCATTTCCCCCAACCCAACTGCATGTATTTTTCCTTTTCCCCGTGGAACCAACACGATTTCGAGGCGAGGCCATGTCTTCTGATGAATCAAGCGAACTCGTTGCGCTGACAGACGGAACATTGTTGAGTGTAACAGAACAGAACAGAACGGAGCGGAGCAGAAAACTTTGGATGGATTAAATGACAGGAGAGGGGCGACTTGGGCCAAGCCCACAGTTCAATGCACGATTTTCATTTCGCTTGCGGTAGACAAAAGTTTCTCCTTTATCAAAGTTGCGGCTTAAGGGCATCGGGGCGGGAATAATCGGGGGGACTAAGGGGTAGTTATATCGCACCGAGCTGCTATACATTACCGCTAACGAGAAATATCAACTGGTAAATTGCAGAAAAGGCCACAAAGCGATGGTGGAAAAAAGGATAATAACAAGAGAAAATAATCAACAATAATCTATATCATTATCCAAAATATTTACGAAAGATTTCCTATAATAAACCCTAGAGGAAATCGTAACCTTAATTCGCTATGATTTCATAGCATACTTTTAGAGCATACTAAAGGTAGAAATTCATATCATTCAAGACTCCCTTAAAGTCACTAATCAAAATTTATAATCAACAATTACATAGTAAATCCCCTTAAGTTTTGAAAAACCCTATAATAAATCCCTGAACGGAATCTTAACCTCAATTCGCTAGGATTTTGAAATCTAAAAGCTTTCTTAAAATAAATAATTTCATAGCATACTTTTAGGGCATACAAAAGGGAGAAATTAATATCATTTAGAACTCCCCTGAGCACTCAACTCAAAATGAAGAGTCTTAAATTCCCTAAACCTCTCTTAAGATAAAATATTCCATAGCCTACTTTTAAGACATAAAAAAAAGTTTAAATTTAAATTATATAGGACTCCCCTGAGCACACAAATCTGTATAAAAAACCCTATAATAACCTTAAATAAACCTTAACCTCAATTCGTTATGATTTTCAAATCTTAAAGCTCTCATAAGATTAATCATAGCATACTTTCAGGACATAAAAAAGTCAAAATTTAAATCATTTAGGACTCCCCTGAGCACACTACTCAAAATGAAGAGTCCCTCTGATGATGTTAAAAATGTTCCTTAACTTTGCCAAAATACCCAATATACCCAACACTTTACGAGCGGGTAATGAGTATAAAAAACTTGTCTACAAGTTTCGGATTTTCATTAGCAACGGCAATGGCCAAAAACGAAGCAAATGATATCGAAATGGAAACAGACGGACGGTTGCCAATTGGCGGTTGGATCAACCTGTTGCCCCGCAAGTAATCGAAGTTCATTCTTTACTTTTGCCGCGGGTCACGAATAAATTCGGGCATTTAAGGTGCTCACGCGATTTGCCACCAATAACAAAAGGAGACGAAGACCACGTCCGAAAAAAAAAAAATGAATAAAATCAACCCAGACCACGGGGCGTTTGCGTGTTACAGAAATAAAAATGGCTGCTTCACATACACACACATAAAGATACAGATACGGATACAGCTACAGCCAGAGCTACAGATACAGATACAGATACATGGGCACACAAGTGCGTGTGTTTGCCATTGCTTCATTATGATGGCGTCGTTAGGTCTATTAAATTTCCCTTTGTTGCACTCGCCCGACGTCTTTTATATTGTTCTCCATAATTTCAGTTACGTATAAAACAGTCGGATTCGGGTCCTTGAACTTCACGCGAATTGGATTTTAGTGGGGCTTCAGCGGCGACAATTGATCCAAATAGCGGTCATATATAGACCATTAATTGTTGAGTTTTGTGGAAAGTTTCCATTAGTTTGGCTTACAAGTTAGTGATATAAATTAGGCATATATTTAGTAAAGATTTAAGGACTAACATTTTTTACGCAAATAAAATAGTGTTATTTGATGTCTAATAAATGCCTGAAATTTTTATTAATATTTTTCAGCTGGTTTTTAATATTACTTAAGGCCTCATAGAACAAAAAGCTCTTTAGCTTGATGTTAAAAATATTATCAATTGAGTACTGTCTAGTTAACTATGCCAAAATATTATTTCTGTTTCTTCTAAAGTGATTTAAATGTTTTTAAGATTTTTTAAAATTATTATAGAATAAGGGCGAACAAAGAAAACTATACTTTTAAATGTATGCAAATGTAAAGGTTTACATTATAAATGGAATGTTTTTACAAATAAAATTAGGAAAATAAAAGATAAGTAACTGAGTAAAAATATTATTTATGTTTCTTCTAGAGCGCTCAGACTTTTTAAAATTAGTATAGATAAAAGGCATCTCAAGAATCCCATACTATTGAATGTATTTATTTCACATTTTAGTAAACCAAGGAAAAATAAAAGTTGTCCGTCATAAAATGTCGTTAAAAATAAAATTTCTTAAAAACAGTGTAGATAAGTAAATTACAATATTACTTCTGTTTCTTTTTGAGTGCTCATACTTTTAAAAATTAATATTGAGCAAGGGCGTCCCAGGAACAACATACATTTAAATGTATTTTCTTCACATTTCAGTAAACCAACGAAAAACCAAAGTTTTCCATTATAAATTAACCCAAAACGTATGGAAAGCCATTTGAGAAGAAAACTGCGGGAAAGTTGGAACAAGCAGAAGAAGGCCACACGTTCGCAATGCGATTGACAGTGGGAAAACTTTGTTTCCCAGCCACTTTTCCAAAAACATTGGCCGCGAGCAAAATCTCCTTCGAGGTGCTAACCACACTGGCTAGTGTCCTGTTTGTTGTCCTTTTTGGCCTCTCCTGCTTAACGGCTTATGTGCAAAGTCGCTAAAAACTTGAAAACTTGAAAACTCGCGGCAATGCCATCTAAAATTAATGCGGCATGACCTTTTCAACAAGCCAAACAAGTTGTACGAAAACTTTCCTCGCCAAACGGAGAATGAGAACGAGAACGAGATGGAGATGGAGAAAGGCGGAGAAAGTTGTGGGCGATAAAGGGGGAGGGCAGGTAAAACAACAAATGGGGCACCGCCTGAACTTCGGCCCATTGATCTGAGGAAAATAGGTGGTCGTGGCCATTTAATGTGCGCATAATTGGCTTGTTGCATATTTTATCGCTTAATTGCCGCACATCGGTCGTGGGGCTATAGTCCACATCATTCACCACCGCCCACTCGAACAGCCAGCATCCGCATTACTTGGCAGGTGGTTCCCCTTAATTATGCCACAGTAGCACTGAGAACAAAATATAGTGACTGCGACTCCCATAAATAGAGCTTGAAAATATAGATATTTGACTCTATCAATAATTTTTTCACATCGATTATTTATCGATAATATCGATATTTTCTAGAAAAACAGATAACTTTGCATAACTCATTCTACAAGAGTTCTCAGTGATCACTGTATATACTTTTCAAATCATTGTTTTTGGTGTGCAAAAATTGGCAAAGAAAAGAAATACATTGACAAAAACACGCTCTTTAAATAACATAAAAAAAATAAATTATTGTATAAATATTTTATTTATGATAAATTCTAAAAGAAAGGAAGGGAAAAGAATTTCAATTAGCATACTTACAACATATTTTAAAATTTTTAGAAAAATATTTACAATTGCTTCTAATCATTTTAACATAACAAAATATGTACTATATAAGAAAAGTTTATGTTATGTGATACCTACTTCTTTAATATACATTTTCAAATGAATTTTAAAATTTCTGATAACTTTAAAATGCATAAAAATATACAATAATTACAATTACATCTTTGCTTTTTAACATACCAAGAAAAGAGTTTATATTTAATATTTAATGCATTCTTATTTAATATATATTTTTAAATATATTTTAAATTTATGCTTCATCTTTAAGTTTATAGAAAAATATGAAAAAAATAATTCTGTACTTTGTAAATACTTTCTAATACAACTTTGTAAAATATGACATGGCCCAGACCAAAATTTATTTTTTCCAGTGCCATATTTAATCAAAATGCTTGTCCTCCGTGGCTTTGGTCGAGTAAAAGTTGCGCAGCGAGCGGATTAATCGACTTTGAGGTGGGCGTCTTCTAAGCAGTTTCCAACCGAGGGCCTCGCATTTATTACGCAATCAAATAAATCGTTAAGATGAAATAAGCAACAGGCCAACCACACATGAACCACAACACAGAAAAAACACCGATTATCGAAATGAACTGAAAACGAAACAATGAAACTGTGGGGTTTGACAAACAAAGTTGAGTACAAAAGCTCTCTATTGCCATTACAATCCAAGGGATTTCGAATTAAAATCTGGAGTAAAAACAGTTCTGGTGGTGGCGATGTCTATTGGAGCAGAGTGGAGTCGGCGGGGTCTCGATGGCGCAAGGACCTCCAGTTCTTTGTGATGATCGCATACTGGAGATCTTGATGGGATCCTTGTTGACCGCAGCAAAGGCTGGACTTCGTCGCTGGGGCCTCAGATGATTCTGATTCTTCTCCTGCGTCATTATCTCCCGGATTCGCGGACGATGGGTATCCAAAGTTTGACGCACCCCAGCCAAATGGGTGTGTATCTTCAGCATGAGACACCTTTCTGTGCGAGTCCTTTGGGCCATCAGCTCGCCAAAATGTTGGGTGGCCAGCAGGGTCAGCGAATCCACGCCCAAATAGTGGGCGGCCAGGATGAGCTCCACCAGCTGATAGAGTTCACTGCCCAACAATCGCTGCTCCCAGGAACTGAGTTCAGAGGCCTCACTTTTTAAATTCTCAACATTGGGCACTTTTTGTTCACTTGCATTCCTGTTCTCATTTTCATTTCCATTTAGATTTATTTCACTGAAATTTGGCTTCCCATTTGTACGAAATATATTTTCACTTAAACTACTGCCTTCAATAGTGCCCTTTTCTTTGCCATTCTCAATACCGTTTCCACTGTTCTTCCTGAAAATTCCAGTATTTGTGGGACTAATTACAAAACGATCTTGACTGTGGTTCCCATATATATTGTTAATAGTATTTTCCTTGTCACTTCCGTTGCCATTTGCATTTTGCTCATTTCCGCCTACCTTATTGAAGTCATTTCCGGTTCTAGCTTTCATCTGAGTGTTCCCAGTGTTTGAGGTTATGTTCCCTGCATTTCTGAAATGCATCCCATTTGCAAGGTCCGTCATTTTGCATATATCGCTTAGAATACAGTTCTGGACCTTTTCATTTCCGCCTTCAGTGTAGCCATTAAGTTTCTTGTATATTGAGTTTTCAGCATTCTCGTAATTTTCACAACTGTTCTCGGCATTTGCATATCTTCTTTTATTATAGACCTTAAAAATTCGATTACGCATTCTTTCTGTCCTTTCGCAACTGTTCTTGGTATTCTCATATCGGTATTTTCCATAGCCATTGCTCATTTCAAAGTCGATACTTTCGGCACTATCATTTTCCTCACTGTTCTCACTGCTTTCCGAACTGTCCTCAGTGGTTTCATCTTCGCTATCGCTGTATGCATCAAACATTTGGTTTATTATAGATTCAGTATTTATAATTATGCTTGCATCATTTTCTTGAGTGTTCTCAGTGATTTCACAACTGTTCTCGGTGTTCTCATTTTCATTTCCGTTTCCGTTTTCTTTTTCCTGGGCTATACTTTGGTCGGCGCAAATGCAACTCTGCTCGAGTCCGGCAGACAGCAATTCACCTTTTCCGTTTAGGCTCTTCTGATGCATCCACATGACCACACGGAGCAGGGTCACCGATCGAATGGCCCTTAGCTCGATGGGCTGCTCTTCCATTTCCAGGCTGCACATCACTTCCGAATAGCGGTACATCAGGCGACTGGGCACATTGATCAGCCGATGATCGCTGCACAGGAAACGCATCATTTTCATTTCCGGTTGCCATTTGCCGGCCACCAATTCGATCAAGCTCTTCGCGGACACCACCTCGTCCTCGGGCCGCTTGCGCTTCACCACCGGCGGAACGGGCAGCTGTACCGTGTGGGGTTTTTGGGGCGGACTCAGTGCGCTGGCGTTCTGCCATCGGATTTGGGGCTTCATCGTCAGCGACACACTGGCCACCTGGGGTGAACTGTGGGCCAACTGGATGCGACGGAAGGAGGTGCGATTGCCGCGTACCGCCGGCGGTATCGAACGTCGCACTAGCGAGCGGATCACCGCCTCGGTTTCCCTTTCCGTTTCCGGTCTGGTGGTGGCCGCTGCCACTGCTTCCGGCGGCTCTTCCCTGACCAAAGCGGTCAGCATCCTGATCGGCAGCGGCAACTTGGAGCGGTACATTGTACAGCGATTCGGGCGTGCGATGCTCCGCGAGCGCGAAACCCGCGAATTTGGCCCATGCAGCGCCGTCAGCGAGTGCTTAACGCGCTCCGGAATTCTCGACTTGAAGCTGGTTGACATGTTTTTCGGGTTTTTCGGGTTTTCCGGGTATTTTTCGGGTATTTTATCTCTTGGCTCAGATTTGGGCTCGATATTGGCTTGTCAGTGTGAGTGTGTGACTATGCTGAACGATTTCCCTTCGGCGGCTCGATCGAGAAAAAGCGATGTGATGAGGATCAAAAGGTATTATCGAAACTATCACATTTTAATCAATATCAAAATTTAAGTTATCGAAAAAATTAAAAAAGGGCATTAATATTTATAAAACATTTTTTATACACTAAGCAGTAGCAATAAAAATTAAAATACATCGGAAATGTCTCATCGCTATGTATATAAGTGTATCGTTCGTTTAGAAAACCAACAATATCTTTTTAAATATTTTAATTATAACAAATAATAGCAGCTCAAATAAAAGTATGGAAAATGTCCCATTCCTATGTATATATATTGAATTATATCGTTTCACAATTCAGTGAATTAATTTGTTAGTTTTCTTCAATAAAGAAATACCAAACTGAACTATGTATAATAATAATATCACAAGTGAAGTTGATTAGTATAATCGATAAAAAAGCAATAAATGCATGTGTCTATCGAAAATTATGCTTTTGAAGCAAAAATATGTGCAAGCCTAATAATTAGATGCAATGACGAAAAAATATTTTATTATTTAAGGTTCTTCCATTTATTCTTATTAATAGTTTCATATAAAATAAATTAAACTTGCTTAAATTGGCAATTAGAAATAATTTACTTAGATGCACACCGTTTAGTTGAAAAATCCCTAACTATAATTAACACCTTTTGTGCCATTGCAATGGCCAATGCATTGGCAAAATCCCGGCTCGGTTAAAATGTATTTAATCGACAAACGCATGCAATTAGCTGTTCAAAGTTAAATAATTTTAGTTTTTGGTTTCCTGCCAAATTTAGTTGGCTTTAGGGCATGAACTTTTATTTTTTGGCCAGCATGGCACTGCATTAAGTTAATCACTATTGATCGAATAAGTATGGGAATTAAGCAGAATATATATGTACTTATGGCAAGGCGGCAAAGGCGAGCAAATAGTCAAACGAAATCTCTGAACAAACAATTCTGCCCTTTGGCCATTCGGTTTATTCCTTTGCAGGAGTTTTGAAAAAGGACGACGTTTGACCCAAATTAAATGCACTTTTAAACAATTTTCCAGCCTTCCTTTGGGATTTGTTTGCCGTGGGTGTGGATGGGTGTGTGTGTGTGTATAAGCACAGGACATTAAAAAGTAATTTAAATTGAATTCCTTGGCGCGCTCCACGGGAACCCGGGGAATGGGTTTTGGTATCGAGGTTGGAATAAAGATGGGCGACATTCCGACGCACAGTGGTGGGCACTGCCTTATTGTAATTAGAGCGATGAGACAATAAATCTCAATATAGGCGAATCCGTCCGTTCAGTTCCGCTTTCCGTTTTCCGTTTCAATTCCATTTTGTAGCCGGGTGCGTGGATTTAAATTGCAATGACAAAAGGGTAGGGAAAGGAATCAGCGAAGCCAGCCGCGCACCATGGCAATGCATAAATCTAGCTCTGTTCCCTGTATTTCCCGGAAAAATCAAGCAAGGTGTGGCGAGTACACAGAAAAAAAACTAGCACTCAAAATAAGTTATAAATGATAAAGTTTCCTGTAAACTTTGAATGCTCTATGTTGCTCTTTTATCAAAATGTTTCTTCAAAAGTTAAGTTGGCTGCGCTTCATCGATACCTTTTCTTATATTTTACAATCGATAAATATACAGATTAAGCAAATTATAAGAGCTATTTTAATTCATGCCTATTTATTATTTTCGATATTTGAATATACAGATTTCTATATTAAATAAATCAATTAAAGGTTTGTTTATTAACACTTTATAGTTTTTAGGTATTGAATAAAATTCATATCACGATATCTTTTGGCTTGCTGATATTTCAATCGATAAATGAAATTAAATAAATGATCACAAATAATTGTAAAACCATTATTTATAATCAAAATTTCAATCTATATTAAATTTATAAAGCATATTTATAAGATTTTTTATTGACTCTTAAAACTCTATACGAATTGATTAAAATTTATTTTAGTATATTTTTAACAAGAAAATTCAGTTTTTAAACATAAGAAATGTTACTTATTTTTCTTCAATATCTTTCAATATTTTCTGGCAGTGTATAAAGCACCAACTAACGATAAAAACTGCGAGGGAAATCGTGGCAATGGGGGGGGAAAGTGGAGAAAGCGGCTTCGTCGTCGCAGGAATTAGCTCAAAATTGCAAAACTTAAGCCAAATGCTGGCGAGGAAAAGGAGGAAAAAAGCGAAACGGAATCGGGCTAAAAGGAAAAGCACAGAGTCGGGAAAGGCGAGGGGAAAACAACAGACGAGAGAGGTATGTATGTAGGTGCAAAAGGGAAAATCAAAACCACGAAACCAGACGAAGGAAGGTGGCCCATTCTTTGTTTCATACCATCTACATAATAGATGGCCCAAGGAAGTAATAGAGAGAGATGGCAAGTGCAGAAAGAGACGGCTGGAGAGGCAGTGAAAGAGACGGCTAGCAACGGAAACAAGTCAATTTGCATTCCGGCTTAAACGAACATCGCCGGGTTAGTTAATGTTGCAAAAAAGTTCGGATTAAAAAGGGGCAAAAAAAAAACTAAAGCTAGCTGAAGGATTTCGGTTGCATCAGCAATTGCAAATTAAACACCATAACTATAACAGCAGGCCAATCATTATCGCTTGTACTGGCTGTCCAAACTTATTTTATTGTTTCAAAATTAGTTTAGCACCCGACCCCGGGGCACTAATCAATCAACTTACGAGAAAACTTCGATTGACTTTCCCCTGGACTTTGCTCGGCACCAATTAACCTTAACTTTGTTAATGAATCGGACAACAAAGCAACTTTTACTGGGGTCAATCGCAACATGGAGTAAAACCAGAGCAGGGCAAAATATTAAACTGCTAAGGATTGTTTTCTCAATGTCAGGTTAAGTCTAGACAAAATTAACATGAAGTTAAAGTGCTTGGGAAATCAAATGCGTTCCCTCAATATGATGCTAATTCTAAGAAGAACAAATCATTTTCTTTAGGTAAGAGTTTTCAGTCTTTTGACAGCAAATTTACCTACTTTATAGCAAAAGTTAACATGACATTGAGAAATCGGCCCCTCACAACATTTTAAATTCAAAAACCACAAATATGAAAATAATATTATTCGAATTGTCATTAAAATCATTACAGTTTGTGTAAATAATATGGTACTAAACTAGACTAACTGTTTAGTAATTTTGCATTTTAATTAATGATTTTGGCTGCAGTGAGTTTTATTTTTCGCCTAAGCAAGAAGAATATTTGATTTCCTCATTAAATAATTTCATTGCAAATCAGCAAATCGATAAATGAGAGTCAAGTATCAACGTGGAATTATTTCATTTGTTGAAATACTAATAAAACTCCCACAGAGCCCTTAGAATAAACTGCGAAACTCATTAAAACGCGGCTAAACAAAATACCTGCTGAATGAAATGGAATAAATAAATATTATTGACTCTGGTTTATTGCTTTCGGTTGTGTAACTGTCAGGCTATTATAAAATTAATTAAATTACACACTCGCGCGAATGCAAAACAAAAAGCCGAAAGAGACGGCCAGATGAATGGCGAAAGAGATGGCGAGATATAGAGATAGAGATGGCAATTATAAAACCATAATTTCCACACGCCAATACACAAGTGTGCATGGCGATTTTTTGGCTCTGCCCCCTGCACTCGAAATGCAATTTAATTCCAACGCTTTGACATTTAATTGTACAACTCACTAATTGAGCGGCATGCAAATGCATGCCAAACAACTGGAAAACCAAACGGAATGTATCGACAACAAATAAAAGTTCAATTAACTAAGAGAGGACAATTATATCTGCCTAATACGTAGAGAAATTTGCGATTTAATTATGGCTTACACCGACAGTCGGACATATTTTTCACTTCAATTTATTTGCAAATATTTATTACACAGACAATACTTAATGGACATAAAATGTAAGACCTTCGTTAACTGGAAAAAGTTCAAAAGAAAAAATACTAGAACTTGATAATAATGTGACCAATTTTAAGATTTTAATAGTACTTATAAAATATCAGGAGTTACTTGTTTGAAAATTCCATTTCATTTTGGGTTATTTTACTTAATGGACATAAAATAAAGGACCTCCGTTAACTGGAAAAAAAGAAAAAAAAGAACAAATACTAGAACTTGATAATAATGTGACCAATTTTAAGATTTATCTATAAAATATCAGGAGTTACTTTTTTGAAAATTCCATATCATTTTGGGTTATTTTATCATTATCCTATTAAATAAAATATTATTTATTAGCTTACAAATTGATTTTTTATTTATTTTATATTGTTATTAATATAATATAATATATTATTATTATATACTATATTAAACTCTTATTAATAAAATATATTTATCCATTTTTTTTTGTTGCATTTTACTTTTAAATGATTGCTAAATCTTCAGCTTATGGCCAGCATCTATTTTAGGGCTCATTAAATCCGCCTTACAGCCATGAAAGACACTGTACTTGGGGAAAGTTACCCCGTTAAAGAAATAAACTGTTTCTAAGCCCCCAAAAGGGTTCGAGCCAATCCTTTCCAGTGAATTCCATCGGCCCCAAGGCAAACATGGGCCATGGCTAATAGTGTGAAAACAAAACAAACGAAGGGAAATAAAAAGAAAAGGAAAGTACCAAGAGAAAGCAGTGGGGGGGGGTGGGGGTGAATATCGTAAAATGCTAAGGTAAACAAACATTTATAAATAATGAACATTGATTGCTTATTTGAACAAAATGAAGGCGGACATGGATACGGCTACGGTTACGAATTCACGTTCATGGATGAATAAGCAGGCGGAAGGCGATGAGCTGCACTCCATAAATGTAATTGTGTCTGTGAATGGGTGTCTAATCATTGTGGAATAGTAAGGGCAAACTCATCAAGGGACTTAATTGATTTGGGTGTGCGAAACTATCGGGAGACATGAATGGCCTCAAATACAGGCAAACTAATTCGAATTGAA